AACTGCTTCTCCCTCCTCCATATCCATTTGCTAGAAGCCAATTTATATTTCCCGATCTTGCAAGTCTGAAATTATTTGTGATATACATTTATAAGATATAACTTTTTTCTTCATTATTTGTACTTACAATATCTACTGTTAGTCAAGAGGAAAGTCTGACATCTAATTAAGTGGTTTCAATCCTCATCTTTGCTGCCATCTGTAGGTAACTTGAGTGGTACAAAGGAGACAAGAAGCAAGTTTGAATCAGTGCAGATATTATTCGTCCTGTGATCGGTAGCTGTGTCTGTGAGAAAGCATGATATTCTTGTTACCTGCCCCTCCTGATGTTAGTGTTAAAATTAGTCAGAAAAAGTTAAAACATACAACAGCTTGGCTTTGTCTCCCCTTGTACCTTAAAGTAATCTTGCAACTGAGGAAATAAAATAAGGAAAATTGAGGATCCATGCTATTTTGCAGCATTGTTACACCATGATATGCACTGGAACACCTGTAATTTTGACTATAAATATGGAATATACTTCTGGGTGTATGTCTAGTAGTTGAAACTCAGTTTCTTTTTCAGAATGTTTTAGCAAAACTGTTACTGTAAAGAAAACTTCAAAAAGAAAAATAAGACAAAAGCAGATAGGTCGATCATATTTTTAAACCCATTATGATCAATTTTGGAAATCTGAAATTAAACAAGTGAGGCCAGAAATTGAAATATTTGATTTAATGACTGCACAATTTTAATACATAAAAATAGATACTTAGTAATGAACAAGTTTATACAAACCAGATTTCTTTTGTACGGTACAAAACAATGATGGAGATAAAAAAAAGATTTGCTGGATTACAGGGCAAGACAAAAAGAACAACAAAACATCATTGAGGAAAAGTTTCAAAGTGATCAGAGGCTTATTTCATAAATACAGTGCAATGCTTTCATTTAACAAATACAAAATTTACTATTTCATTTATCAACATCAGGAAATATATAAAATGTCATTGAATGACAATCTTATTTAAAAACTGATGCAAATACAATAGCCTTTTTAGAATTCTGAGGTAATATTACACAGTAAATCAAAAAAGCTTCAATAAATAAAACTAAACTCAAGGCAAAGTGCAATTCAGTGAAAATAAGAAGATAAAGCTTTTATTTTAACAATAATAGATAAATAGTTATTAAAAGTGGGCTTAAGCCATAAAAAAATATTTTGGCTAATTTGCCGTGTTTTCAGATAAACTGTATAGCTATTTATTCATAAGCCAACCTTCCGTGAGTCCAATTCTACAGAGAGGGGAAAGGGGGGAGGTGTTTGTTTCCAGATTTCTTACCTACATCCACCACATTCAGCTGTTGGAAATTTAACATTGCTTGAAGCTATCTAGTTCATTCAGTGCAATGGTGAAAGTTTAATTTATTTCTTAACATCTAAAATCCTGTAAATTAAAATTTACTTTAAAATCTCCATTTGAGAGAAAATGTAAAATGCACAAGTTTGAAGAGCTACTTTTAACACTCTCTGTGCTAACCTAGTTTTGTTCCAGGCTGAAGTCAATGGAAATTTTATTACTGGTTTCAAGGAGAGCAAAATGAATACAGTGCCAAATATTTTAAAATATCCTACTATTTATCTCTGCTTTAATAAAACAGTAAAATTGCCAGTACCTTCTCTAAGAAATAGAATAAAATAAAATTTACACTTAGCTATTGAAGAAAATCCACAACAGCTTTGAAACTACAGATTAGGCAGATTCATTTGTTCACCATGTGTAAATCTGTTGGTCGTATATAAATAATACAGAAAGGGCAAACAAGAATAATATAATATTTTACTCTTATTGCAAATAAGTAACTGAGTACAGACACTAAAGATATTTAAGCATCCATGCCCCAGCAGAAGTCAATGGGGAAAGCTGACAAATTAGATGCCAAAGTGTCTTGAACAATCTGGGCCTCATTCAGCTGAAAGAAAAAATCTATAGAACACAGACTAGCTACTCATATTAAAAAAATACTATACTGCATGCTGATAAATTCTTTCTGTTTAATGAATAAAACCCAGACTTATAATTACAGCTGCATTTTAGGACCAGTTTCTTTCCCAGCTCCTAATTTACTAACTCAGAGCAGGCATACCAAGAATTTTTTTCATGTAGTTTGCGTAGTGAAAACCACAAAACATTGTCTTTAAATGCTGGCCTTCAAGTTAATGAAAGCATCAACATTCTTCTGAAATGTTATTGTATTCACTTTTGTCACAGCTTACTTAAGACTTTCAACAAAGTTGCTTAAAAAAATGATAGCATGATACACTCATCAGTTTTCCATGTGTTGTGGATTTAATTCTTTTCCTGAAATATTTCACCATATGTGGAATTTATTTTAAAATATCTAGTTTTATTTACTACAACGCTACAGTAGATCTGCTTAGTTTGCTGTCAAAGAATGAACATACAAGTTGCTTAATACCTGTAGTTTGAACTTGAATCCCCTCAAGCTGAAGAAACTACCTTTTAACACTCTTGTACAGTCAAGCGTAAAAGCTGAGTATAGAACATCTAAAACCTCTAATTCATAAAAAATAATTTTTTAGCAGTAAATGGCACTACCAAAACCCTATTTGTTCAAAGGCAGTTATTTACATGCTTCTTAGACAGCCTGTTTCATTGACAAGGAAAACCAGAATATTAAAACTGCATACATTTTATAAAGACTAAAATTCCTATTTGCCTTTGTGAAAATATGGCTACATGCTGTATTTTTTTTTTCCTATTATTCATGTTAATTGAAAACATTCCACCACTGGGATTAGCTAATAAAGAAATATTCTGTATATTATCTCCCAGTGGGATATCTGTGATATAAAGGAATTAAGATTAATGATAAAGTGCTATTAAGAAAAAACAGAAACAAACTATAACTTAGAAATTGTCTTAGTTGGGTTTCGTTTATCGAATAGACTAGCTTTTTGTACAAAGAAAGCTACTTTCTGTGTGACAAAGCAAGCAGTAAATGTATTGCCATTCAGGAAAAACCATACACTTCATATTTAATTATTTAAAAAAAAAAAAATCTAAGTTGGGTAAGACTGGCACAGTATCAAGAGACGTAACAACAAAAAGCTTAAAGGCACAATTAGAAGAGAGTGAATGCTACATAAAAATGCTGTTCTTAAAGTATTTAATGTTATTCTAGACCAAAACCCTCTGCATTTGAAATTCCAATGATCAACTTTTGCTTCAGTTCCTTCTTGTTCTTGTAAGGAGGGAGACAAAGCTGGTTGAAGCAGGTATGGGCCACAGGTAACCTAAAATAATTAAAAAAAACCCCAAACGAAAAAACCACATTTAATAATAATACAATAGAAGCAGAACACTACAAACTGCCTACACATTTTCAGTTAAACATTACTTAAATAAGAAACCCTGTAAAAGGAACATTTATCCTAATGTTGATGGTTCAAGTGCTGTTGAACACACATAACACCACTATTGGTCACATGCACCTCAGGTGAATTTGTTTGCCGGCAACTGCCTCCCTGCCTTTCTTCTTTTTGTTAAGTTGGAAACATCTCCCTCCAGGTATTGGAAACTCCAGGTACCACATGACTTCAAACTCAGTTTTTCTCTAAATACAAAATCTGGGTATAATCAGAATCCACAACGTGAAGAAGGAAGGTGGGTCCTGCAGTAGGTATAGAGACACCTAGATGAACCACAGTTACTGTAAGGATACAGAACTCAAAGTTCAGCCTGGTAAAATACATCCTTACAGGCACACGCCTCAGTGCAGAGCGCTGAGGAGCTGACTGAAGCCCTGGAAAAACAACAGTTCACAAGTTTTGGTCTTAGCCATACCAACACCTTCAGCTTCGAGTTTCTCCTGAGAGCTGAGTTTGAATATATATTGCAGGTACCTCTTAGGATTGCCTGACTGAATGAAACACTGGAAACAATTCTCCCCACTAGAATGGACTGGTTTGATGAGAACTGTTCTTCAGTAGCAGAAGCATTTTTTGCCATCAGTATGAGATGCCACTAACACTGTGCCTCATAGCCCCAGGCAGCAAGAAGCTATGGGACCTTCTTTTGCCTTTTATATTCTCAGGTGACACGCAGGACAGCACTAAGGATATAGACTTGTCCTACAGCTGATTACTCGAGGGGGGAGAGAGGAGAAAGACAGTGAGCTGAAGCTCAACCTGACATTTGGAATTAACCCAACACACTGAAAAATTTCTAAAACTTGGACACTGAAAAGTTAAATTTTAGTACGTGACTCAAAAGCTCTCTAGTTCTGTTTTCATTGAAGCCCTCAGTCTTTTGAATGGGAGCAGCTTGGCCTTTGGTCATTAGCAAACGTTCTTGAAAGGGGGTGGAATCCCCCCAGATCTGGAAACCCAAGCTACTTCCCCCTCCCCGCCCTTTAAACAAGCAAGCAAAGATCTGTTAATCACACTGGAGTCACGTGCTTCAGAATTTGGAAAGTTGGGAAACTGGATATTAATTTGGTAATTCTTACTGCTGTTATATTCTTTGATTCTATTGTGTGAGCAATGCAATGCCAACATGTCTATGTTCATCCCTGTGCAGGCAGTCTGACTGCAACGATTGTCTTGCAGAACACAGACCTACATAATTTTAAAATGCACACTATTTCAAAACACATTTTCCCATTTTTAAGAAAAAGAACAATTTACAGGAGAATGAACTTAAACAGAGATTCAGCGTTGACTGGTTTTTCTTCATTTTTCATCAGATCCTTATGTTCCTTTAACGTTACTGGAACCAGTTATTAGAGCTCCCTGAATAAAGCATTAGAAATACCACAGTAATGAGATAAATCCAATTTAAAAACAAAATAAAAAATTATTTTGTTTATGCATTTAATTCAGCTCTCCACAGAAAACCCAACAGAATTTTGATTTTAAAAATATAGTTCCATTTAAGTATTTTGATTACCCTAAATGCTTGAGAAATCAAGGTAAAGCCAGTAATTACTGCTTAGCAGCAATTACTGTTTAGCAGTGAGCTTTTCTATACAGTTTTCCAAATTATTTAAAGTGACTTTCTCCAATCTTGAGAAGCAAAATACTAGCTGGAAAGTATGTGGAATTTCTCAAGTCGATTCAATACAAAATAAAACACTACCAGAAACATAAGAACTTGGCATGAACAATTTAACCTTCACAATGAAATTACAAGGCCGCTTCGTTCCTATTTCTTCTGAGCAACCTCTGTATCAGCCATACACTTACTCACCAGAGACCCTAAAGGAATGCTACATCTTCTCAGCCATACATGTTAAAATTCTTATTTAGACCATCAAGAAAGAATACAAGCATTTTCTGCAACTGCAGGGGCTGCTATACATAATGACAGACAGACTCAATGAATTCAGAAAAATTCATGGTGATTCATAGTATATTTTCATTAGCTCAGCCGTCATGTTAGGAACAATTAAACAAATAATTTATTTGCATTGAAAACATGTAAGGAATCTCTATAAATAAAGAATTCCCGGCCTCAAATATAAACATTGACTGGAGAATCAATTTTGTATTAGATGGTCACCTGCAAAACCTATGCAATCAATAAATGGGTATAATAACGTCTTGAAGACAAACTAAAGGAGTTCATGCAGTTTCTTCCTTATACATTAGTTTGCTCTTCTTTAAAAAGACATTCAAGAGTGATAAGGGCTCTCAGGAAATAATTTAACAAAAAATTTTAAAAATCCAGAAAACTACTTACCAATTAGTGGATGTTTCACTCTTTGAAATCTTGAAATTCAAATCAGCCATTCCTCCCACAGGTACTCTATCACTTCCTGTGGCAAAATGTAGCAGCTTCTTTTGAAGGTCAAGAGAAAATCCAAGCACTACATCCCAAAAGTATCTATGTGCAGGGCAGAGGGAGAAGAAAATGAAGTAAGATGCAATATCATGACAAAACAGTATGAGGATAATAATACAACCGCAAGTACTACGTGATGAATGTCACTTACTGAGAATTTAATTAGTGTAATATATAGGACATCAGTAGTATCCTAATATACAAGGTTAAATAAATTCCTAAGGACTTGACAAGTACAATGTTTTATGAATTTTGGAATGGTGTCTTGTCAAATGATGCCCAAACCCACTTTTCTATAAAAATATAAATGCCTTCTACTCACTAATATAAATGTCCTTAGTATCAAATAGAATTGGAAGAAAAAAAGCATGTTTTTAATATCCAATCTTCTAAAAAAAGACTCAGATTTCACTATGCAGGATTTGAAGCTACTCTTTTTAAACTGTCTCCATTTCAATCTGATCATAACCTTTTAAAGGTATTCAGCAACACATTAGGCCATTAAGGATCTAACACTTCCTACTTGAGATAATTTCATAGTGTCTTTGTCTTATTTGGAAATGGGTTTTTAAAACTTCAATCATTCTCAGATTATCCTTGAAGGGATTATTCCCAAAGGTCTACCATTCCATGGTGTTTTTAAACTCAGTAATTAGAATGAAAAAAATTAAGCCTACCGTATAGTAAGATCAGTTTTTTGGTAGCCCTCATATTGAGTACTTCGCTGTAAAGCGGACATATCCAGTTCAGGACTGCCACAGACAAGAATTTCAACTTCTTCTGGACGAAGTAGCTGCCAGAAATTAAGGATAAAATATTTAATTTTGTTTAAAGATGAGAAATGATGCTACTAGATTCAGATTAAATTTTTCTTTTGGCATTATAGAAAAATTAACAGAATATAATTCAATATAAATCTATAACTTCAATACATACTGTTTTATAGAAAAATGAATTCCTCAGTACTTTGAAGAATCTCTTACTACTCTATATAGTAAAAAGCAAATTACTGGATAACATCATATTTTAGCGTATTTCTTTTGTTCCTCACTTTTTTTTCATTCTTACATTTATTACACTGACTTGCTTGTCATCTGATTAGATTACAAATGGGTCAGGAAGGAAATTAAATTTGTACGTATGGAATTCAGAGGGAGGGTCTTGATCTCAATTTTGGTTACAACTTCATTTACACTGAAAAGTCTCAATGTAGGTTGATGAGTAGCAGTGGCTGACAGAATTTGACTCTTAGTTGTACACACTGCTGCGCAAAGCAAATACAATAACAATAAACCACGTTTAACAACAGCTAAACTTACACCTGCAGAACCTACTTATTCATTTACTACATCATCATTAAATTGCATGAAAGTATATCATGGCATTTCAATGGATTTTCATTCTCCTTCCAGAACCTTCCCTGCAGTTAGTCAGATCTCACTTTGGTGCAAGTGTGTCATACTTGGCTATGACAGGAATGAAGAAAATCTCATGCAAATTGTAATTGCCTCTTCTTTCTCTTCTTACTGCACAAGGGATGATGTAAGTTACAAAAGGCATTCCAACAGCCAAACAGGAAGAATGTTTAATCTCAACCTCACTGAGTGTTCTTCCTGCAAAAAGTAATAGGTGTTTTCAGCGGAGTCACTCAAGAGCACACAGACATAGTTGCTCTGCTGCTCGTAACTGTAGGGAATACAGAGAATCCTTGTAAACATTCACGAGAGCCCATGAAGTGTCTGTGAATGCATACTGATAAACCTAGCTTGTGGAGCTTTGTTTATCTGTTTTCAATGGAACGCTACAGAGAACAGTTGATTACATTCTTAATTTCTTCTGCTTATGTTGGATTAATCAACTACATTGATTAATCAAGATTCTTCATGAATCCTAAAATCATCCAGCGTAATTTAATTTAGATAAGTCATTGTCACATATTTGAAACAGAAGTGTTATGTTTCATTTTATTCTTACCAGTAATGCATATGAAGCACAGACACTATGAAATCCGTAATAGAAAGCTGCAAATTGTTTGTAGATTGATTTATTGAGAAGAAAATCAACATAGAGCTGCACATATTCTAAAAAAGAAAAACATTTTATTTTGTTATATCATAATAATTTTAAATAATCATTTGTTGTGCTCTCAAATTGTACTGAATTAAGGAAAATGAATGCATTTCATTTTAGATACTATTAAATTGGTAGGCATACCAGAAAGGACTACAGTAATTTAATTTTCACTTTGTTAAAGAAAACCTAGGCTTATAAGAAGGAAAAAAAGGACAAACTTAAATCTGCCAAATATGTGTAGTTAATATGTATTGAAGTACCTTTCCTATTCTGATTTGTGACTGGAATTTTATCTCCATTTGGCTTTAAGTTGTAAGATTTTATGACACCAAATTCTTCCTGAAAAACCTGGAGAAAAAGAGGGGTCAAGGTCAGTACTGGGAAATACATTCATATACTCACAAATTATAAAGCTTGTCTTTATTATTTCATGTATTTCACCTGTCTCTCTCTTTAGCGCATGCTGTAATTCTGAGGTTTGTAGGGTTTTTAAAAATTAAGTATTACAATTTTCAACAAATTGCTCAAGAAATTGGTATTCAAAGTAGAAAAATTGACCCTGTTACACAGTGGCATATCAAACTGACCTGCAGGCTCTGGAGCCACAGGGTTTTTCATACAACAGAACAATTTAGGAGCATCAAATACAACTAAGAAGGTATTTGTTCCACTGTATCTCAGCTAGAAACTCAAAAGTAAACACTTTACAAAAATTCTCATATGGTCTGACAATAATGTAATTCAAAGCTGAGGGGAAAAAAAAGGTCAATACTAGTCCAATAAACATCCATAAACCAGCATGAACTTTTACTAACTAGTATGTGTTCTAAAACAATGAATAAATGAAAAAGGCTTTCTTGATTGAAGTAGCAGTTAGACATACAGGTCAGGACAAAGCGTATAAAATAACCAGAGTAAGCTTTGACTAGCATCTGGGTTAGTCAGAGAAAGGATTGTTTTGCAGCCAGATGAATTCCACAAACCCGGTCACCGATTGCAAGGTGATGGTGTCAGAGCAAGCAAAGAGCTGGAAATGCACCAGCAGCTGGCCATGCGACCCTGGCAGTCAGTACTCAGATCCACCTACGCTGCCAGGGGACAACAGCTGAAAGCCCTGTAATGAGCCAGCCTCTGTATGCCCCGAGGCCCCAGGACTAGACTGGTTCTTGAAGCAAGCTTTAATGCTCGTGCAGTTATATTGCAAACAATCAGCAATCACACAAGTAGTAGGCCACTCCATTGCAGAAACATCGGTAAAAGTTACTGAACGAGTTTGAGAATCATAATTGTATATTTAATGACCTGAAAGGTTGAGTAAAAATCCTCTTCTACATTGCCTTCATAGGATAGAAGTTCACTTAGTCCATGGGCCAGTTCCTACAATACGAATAAAAACTCTTTAGTAAATCTACAAAACTAAGCGATGTACTTTGCAAGGACGTGCCAGAATGATTCTTTTATACAGAAAGTATCTTGGAAAAAGCTGTATATTCAAAATGCGTACACAAAGAAAAACTCACTGCTTAATTAATATGTGTGTATATATATATTTTTATTTCAGTATAAACTGTTACATTTTTCTTTTTACTACGGAAAATGTGTCTAGAATGCTCATATCGATTTTGGTATTCTAACTTCAAGTAGATCAATAAAAATTCTGCTATGCTAGAAAACATGGAGAACTTCTGGATTCAACAGAAGAAAAGGAGACTCTACCAGCTTGTGCTGAAAAAAAGGCTGTTTTCAAAGTTTATAATTCAAGCATTAAATATAAATAAAACAGGTTTTAAATCGGTAATTTAGCCTCTGAAAAAAGGTAGTACTTACGGGCATAATCTGAAACAGGTCATCTAATGTGACATCACAGATGCCTACAAGTGTGTTATGATCGCAAGGAACAATGGGAGGACTCAATAATTTCTTGTAGCAGCAAGGTGGGAAACGAATATCCAAGGTGATGCTATTATATACAGCAAGCCCCATAAGCTATATATGTCAAACGTTAAGGGCAAACCCCACACATCCTTATTATAGTTAATATTTTAAGTAACTTGGAAAAAGTGTTTTAAGATTTTACTCAGCATAATCTAATACATGCTAAACAAACAGAAGAAATGGAAATTATTTAATTTTTTTGACTGACAATTTTAAATGCAGTTTTGTATTACAATTAAATAGTAGTTAAAATGGTCAAACGACGCACATTGACAGAACACTGAGAATCTTCATCATAATATTCCATACAAGCATTTCTAAATAAATTGTTCCATAGTATTATTATGAAAAAAGTTTTTAAAGGGAACTGTAGGTATATATTTTTAATCCAAAAATTCTAGAGAAAGCTCAGTATAGCAATTTTTGTTTTAAATAAATCTAAAAGCATAAAGACAAACCTGCACTGGCACTACAGCTCATCAGTTAGCACCTTGAAGTGTATCTTGTGAAACAGATTTGAAATTATACCAAAAATTAGAAGAATCCAGTTCACGATTCAGCTCCACTAGAATAGAATAGTTCAGTTGGAATAGACCTACAACGATCATCTGGTCCAACTGCAGTCAGTAAAATGGGGACATCACCATCTCATTTTAGTGGAGTTATAAGCATGTATTATCATAAATCATTTGTCTGAGGACTTCATAACTGAGCACAACAGAAAACCTAGGAAATAAACTTATGCTCAAAATAGCATGTGGCTTCCATTCAGTAAAAAAAAAAAAAAAGCCACATACTGATCAACAGGGACATAAACGAAAAATGAGCCTGTATGCATTAATATATGTTTACTGAATGAAACTCAGAGGTGTAAGTACATAAAAACTTACAACTTATACACAAAAACGTTGCATGTTTAATCTTAATTCTAGTATTTTCTGACTGTAAAACGTACCATGTACCCACATACCACCATTTTCTTCCTATTTTTAGTTCACTTGCTTGAATGACATTCTTTTTATATATTTAAAATGGAACACACTCGTATATACAACATCTGAATGAGCATTAATCAATGCCTTATTTCATCCCCATACCAACTCATTGAATGGCTGTTCGTTTAGCACCGTCTAGCAGACATAAAAGGATACAGCTCCGTGTGAGTCCTTGTGGTAGGTGAACATGCCTGCAGAACGGGAACGGTGGCCTTTACAAAGCCTGAGCTTCAATAAAAAGTTGTACAAAACCTCATCTTTCTCACATATGCACCCTTAAAAGTGCTCCTAGGAGTGCCCCTATCTCCACGCTTGTTCTCAGCACCGTCTTCCCACCCACAGCAGGAGCCTGCAGGTGCTTGGGCAAGGATATTCTGCACTGTCTCTGTGCAATCTGTTTCTTCACTGTACTTCATCATCTGTACAGCCAGAAACATTAATTGTCTAACCAAAAATTTTCTTGCTGCAATGTAGACCCATTTCTTCCTCCCTTCCTGGGTCAATAGCAGATGACGATCTTTAAAAATGCTGGCGTGAATCCCATAAGCTTTAACTTCTTAGAACAGAAAGCCGTAAAACGTTTATCTTATACACACATTAGCAGCAAAGGGGTATGGTTCCTATTTTCCGTCAAAAAATTCTATCAGAGAAGTTAAAAAAAACCCCAAACCACAAATACCCTAAAAAAAACACTCACTGGTCTAAACGACAAGCTAGATCCTACTGAAATCATGACTATAGACTAGTTTGCCTGATATTTGTGTCGGATATGGATCATTCTGTTTTAAAGAGTGATAGAAAGTAAAAACCTACATAATGAAACCACGTAACAGCTTTAAGATGCCTAGGAAGTATTGCTCACAGAAACAAGACACTTACACTCCAGTTAAGTATGCACTAACAGTGAAGTTTAGCTTTAGTTTTACGCTGAGGGTGGTGAAACACTGGCACAGGTTGCCCAGAGAGGTGGTGGATGCCCCATCCCTGGCAACATTCAAGGTCAGGTTGGACGGGGCTCTGAGCAACCTGATCTGGTTGAAGATGTCCCTGCCCACGGCAGGGGGGTTGGACTAGATGACCTTTAGAGGTCCCTTCCAACCCAAACTATTCTATGATTCTAAGTTAACTTTAGCAATGCAGAAGTAAATTGGATAAAACGTGATGACTGGTTTTAGTTTGTTGGGATTGAATGGGCCGACAGCTTATTATTGTTTCCACAGTCAGTGTACAAAACAAAGCACTGAATAGTTCTAAGGACATCTTGTATGCAGTAGCTCACCACATCTGTGTTTGAAGACAAAGTTGGGGAAAAATAATATTTAAATGAAACAAACTCCTTTGGATTAAAAAAAAAGAATAAAAATCCAACTGAGGTCTCAGGGACATCTAGTTTTTATGAAAATTTATAGGTAAAACTCTGCCTTCAAATCTCCCCCCCCACCTCTCCTGAACAATCTTAACTTTATCTTTTGAACTTTAGCTCAAAAAGGTGCGCATCACAAAATGTTGACAGTGTCTCTACCAGAAGCAACAGAACAGTTGCATATAAGGCAGAGCAAGGTTCACATACTGAAATATGGCAGTGATGCTGGAACAAAATAAGTCTCAAATCCCATTTATTAATTGTCCGCAACAAGATGAAGAAAGCATTGTAACACACATAGGAGGGCAGACAACTGAGTTAATTGGGAGTTTTTTAATTTCAGGGGTTAAACCTGCAGGATCAGCTAACCTGGAAAGGGTAATAACAGTGATGTTTTCCTATGTTTTTCCTTCCAAACTTCTGACATACATTATTTGCAACTTAAACATTAAAGACAGCAGAGTATACAGTCCCTTTCCAAGGGACAAGAACATTTCTGAACTCCTCCCACACTTGACTGATGGTCATATTAATGAAAGAATTTACACTTTAAAGTGAGGAAGCCTGCCAGAGCTGGTGAAAAAAAAATTACTCTCGAATGTTTCCAAACTCATCAGTTACCAAGCTCTGCTGACAACACATTTTTACTAACACAACTGTCGAACACTTTCTCCAGGATAAATTGCTTCCTATTAAGGTTGTTATCACCAAATGTCATCTCTCCACACAGATCCCTTTTTACTGGAAAGAGGGCTATAGGCAAACAATGGTCTCAGAAGATCTGAGGACATATTTATGACTTAAAACTCTGGACCTTTGGAAGGAGTCCTATAAACAACAGAGGACCATGCATTTAAGGGACACGGACACTTCCAGGCAAAGACAGACAAGCTCTTGTATTCTACCAATGACCGTCAGGTGTTATGCTGAAGTCCCTGGAAATCAATGTTTCTAATATAAGAGCCAGCCTGGGAACACTTTAACCCATTATAACATCAGTAATGTATCCATGCACAGCTGAGGAAAGCTGACTCATTTGAGAAATATTAGAGGGGGGAAAAAAACCCCACCCAGATCCATCTACAGCAATATAAAACAAGTAGATTGAACTGCTTGTTTATGAATGCTCATTCATGTCTTCCAATCTCCCATTTACTCAAAAAAAATCTTCCTTTTTTTTTCCCCCCTTGGGCCTGCAGATATCATTATGGGCTCACAGGTCCTGGTAACAGCAGAGGCAGGCCATTTCATTCAGTCTCACATCTGCCACTGCCTCTGCACCTGACTGAAGGACCTTTCTATCCTGAGAGCATCTCAGGCCACTTTAAGAATACTGGCCACACAGATACCCCAAACAGAATATATAACGACAAAGATTCAAGTAAGAACTAACCTCTACCTATACTAATCACAGAAATAGTGCTACAACTTGCAGAAACTATCAGTGCAAATGGAAACCATTGATACACAGGAGGCCAGAGTCAGCGGTTTGCCAGAAACGAGCATAACAGCATCCAACTGTAGCTACTTACGAAAACCAGGAAAACTCCCTAAACTAGCAATACGAAGACAGCCGAGGGCAGTGTAAAAACAGAAAATGCAGCATGAGAAGAAAGAGGCAAGGATGGCATGTGACAAAAAAATACATTTGGCCTTATCTCCACTTGAATAGAATCATAGAATCATTAAGGCTGGAAAAGACCTCTAAGATCATCGAGTCCAACCGTCAACCCAACACCACCATGCCCACTAAACCATGTCCCTAAGCACCTCATCTACACGTCTTTTAAATACTTCCAGGGATGGTGACTCAACCACTTCCCTGGGCAGCCTCTTCCAATGTTTAACCACTCTTTCAGTAAAGACATTTTTCCTAGTATCCAGTCTAAACCTTCCCTGGCGCAACTTGAGGCCATTTCCTCTCGTCCTATCACTAGTTACTTGGGAGAAGAGACCGACACCCGAATATTTGCTAAGCCATCTACTTCAGAGGCTGCTATATGTCTCTTCCTATTTTGGAACAGGAATATCATATTCCAATTAGAATTTGGTTCCAATTTCCAATTGCAACCAAACAACATATTAAGCTAAATGGAAGAACGTTATTCTTAAATCCAAATATGCGAATTCACACATATACTTGTGTGAATTCTAGAAAATTTCCAAGGGCAGACAAGTGTCAGTGTTTCAATGGCTTGCACAGTTTTTGTTTCTTAGCTTGTTAGTAGGTCTAGGAATTCACTAACACTTATAGAAAACTCGTAAGAGTTTTCTACTCAGAAGAGAAATGGAAACAACCATTTCAAAGGCCTGATTCCATTTGAGTTATAACAGATTTAAATTATCCTTGTCCTACTCCATAAAATAATTGATGGCCTTCTCCCATCTGCCCAGAGGTAAATCAAGATCCTGTCTCTGGATAGAGATGGAAACACTGTAACGACACAAGATACATCAGAGGAAGAACTTCAAGGAAAATCTACTGCTAGTCTTGAATCCCCCTGCTTGTATTCAATATGCTCACTAGCCTAGTGAACAAACCATAAACATCAAGCCTCTGATTTCTGAAACAAGGTTTAGTGTGACGAGAGTCTTAAAAAGCTGAATCCTAATTTTAATTCTAAACCTTTCCATTGATAGAGATTTGTTCACCCTCTAATTTTGCCGTACCACTGAAGCAAAATCTCAGTTTTTCAGCAATGCTTGAACCTCCTTGTCAAAAGCCAAGATCTTCAAAGCTCTTCAAGTACTTCCCACTCTCTTCCACCTTCCTCTATGCGAGAACTTCTCATCTATATACAATTCTAAGTTGCCCACTTTTGTTTTTACATCAAGTAGTAACTGGTCTGCCTAATACTGGATTAATAAAGAATTCTTATCCATCACTGTTTTGATAATTTAAAATGAACAAATTTTCATGTTGTACTTAAGAACATTTATGAGGACTCACCATAATCTGGGTGAAAAATCTGGCGAATCAGAAGAAGAAACCATTCTTTTGTCAGGCCACCCATATCAAGACCAGCTTCCCCTACAAATGTGACTTTCAACTTCTTTTTCAGATCTGCCTTCTTCCTTGCTAGCTATTGCAAAATAGGTAGGGAAGAAGAAAAAGACGACTATTTAACATATTATCACTGCCTCTAGCCATAGAGAACACATCTCTCCGTCTCTACCGCTCTTGCTTTGTTTAAACTAGCAATTTGCATCATCTCCTATTAATAGGTCAAAACTATATTAAAACAATGATTGAATTGCAGAAGCAAGACAATCATGACTACTTGATGTCATCTACCTTGCACATGGTGCCACACTCCAGGCCTGAAAAGAAGTTAGGTGGTATGCAAACAGGCTTTTAATAAGCTACTGGATACGATGAACTGAGTCTGTCTGGAATATTTTGGTCCTATGTAATTTTTTACCTGCACAGAAGCCATTCTGCCAGGAAGAAATGATAGATAAAAAAAATTAGACATCCTATGGAGATATTTAGAAATAAGGAGGTAGCTAAAGCTTTCAGTATTTGGACACTGTTCTGTTCAGCATAAGATACCTGCCAGCAAGTATCAGCTGTTTTGTAAAACTGGTTTTTAGACAATGGAACAAGCTCTTTTCATTCCTTTGTCCTAAGAGACAGCATTTCATCCAGGTATGCAAAAGACCTGCAAAGAATTAGATTACAGCCGTTCACAATTAGCAATGGTCTTTCAGATCAAGTCCCTATATAATTTTTCTTTAAATCACTAATTACTGGCCAACTCCAGAGAAAGTGTTTAAACCAGTCAGGAAGATGCATGTGCTAAAATAATTTCTATGTTGTTAGCTGCTCAAGTAAATTCCTGTGGCACAAATTTTATTACTTTATGTCAAATAATACAAATACCTACAGTTTTTATTAGATGAAGTGATTTTCCTTCGCAAATTATTTTTTTTAATTCGAAATACAAATAAGATATCTTTCCCCCACTTTTCATTCCCCACACTTTTGAGAATATGGATAATAATATAATACATCCTTACTCATCCCTGAGATGGGCAGAAGAAAAGATCAGAAATAAATAGGAGAATATTTTGGCTATCAGAAATCTTGAAGGTGCTCTTGGTTATTTAAGTGTGGTAAAAAAATCCCTACAATGCCTGAGGGAAAGCAATATTGCCACTCATATTTCTTCTATCTTAGGAGAGGAGGCCAAAATAGACAGGCTTTAATCTAGGAAAAAAAAGTTTAAACTTCTGTTTTCTGAACATGAGTAATCAGAACTTGTTTGGTCTTGTTTTCACCACTTGGACTTATTTTTCAATAGCATCAGGCTGTTTTTAGTGTTGAGTAAGTACAAGATTTCATTAAATAATGTTAATTAGCAAGGTTCAGTGGAGACTGAAGAATTGCCTCCTTTAATGGACACATCTGTTTCATTTCTAAAAAAGGAAATACTACCTTCAAGAATGTGAGGAATTAGTTAAAAATCAAGAACTTAAGAAAAGAAAGCCTAAAATAATTCTTATAGGATAGAGAAGTTAGTGATGGAAAAGAATAAAAATATCCCAAGAATTAGAACAGAACAAACTCATTAGTGATTAGTCACTTACTATTCATGCTCCTATCATGGAACCAAGTCCTATATAACCTGGTAATTATGCACTGTATTCTAAGACAAAAATTGCAAACACAAATACATACCACATGGCATGCAAGCATGTATGTTTATTATAGGCTTAGCTGTGGAGCAGTATGAGGACAGAAAATAAAGTTCATAATGTCTAACCCGATCTAATCTGCAGCACTGCTACTGTGACAATAATTCAGTTCTCTTTATTTAGTATTACACAGTTATATTCCCAATCTCTTAGCGCAGAAATATTTAAATATGACTTATCAAACTGAAATCTAAGCATGATAGCTATTCTGCAGCAACACACCATTTAATTACATTTTTTGTTACCTCATCAAGTGAATCACTAACAAGGTGCGTCCTCCTCACTTTCACATTTAGGAACAACATATTCATGTCAGGTTTCTGTCTGCGAGAGACTTTATCCACAAGGCTTTGCTATTTGAATGAAAAAGAACATCATACATGCAGTATCTTCATTTAAAAAACAAAGTGCCACACTTGTTAAATGTAAAAAGTCCTTAGTATCTTGCATTAAAGATATTACCCTAATACGATAGCTGCTTCAATATCTTCTAAGAGATGGAGAGCAATTTCTTTTCTACTGCAGAGAGCATTTACACCATATTCAAACTAACTTCACCATATTCAAACTCACTTATCAGGAAGTTTAAAAAGGCGGCGGCAATTGTGCAACAACCTTTTCAACTCCCCAAATAGTTAAAAACATACCCATAAGATTCCAGAGTCTGGCTTGGGCTTTACTTAGCTATTCACAAGACACATCCAGCAAGACAGGAATGGATAGGCGGTGGTGCTGCCACATTGAGCACCGAGGAAACAGGTATCACCTAGCACCTGAAGAAAATTACCACTGAAGGAGGCAGACAATGCCTCTTTCAAAACAAAAGAGGCCGCCCAGAAGCAGTACCTCTTCTGTGACTTGTGAACATACAGTTGCATCTTGGTCTTCCATGACAACGTATCTTCACAGAATAAAATAGGAAACAGTCCAAAATTCTCATGGAATTTTTCTTCCTTAATTATCTTGTTAATTTACCATGCTAGCACATTATGCTGGTTTCTCAAAAAAGAAAAAAATAAAAATTACTGTAACTCTTTTTCCACAGCACTGATATTTATAAGCATCCTGAAACTAAGCACATTAAAATAAAAAATATTGAGAATCCAGCAAGGACATTTGTAGACTAGGAATAGTAAACTAGCTCAAGTTCTTTTTCAGGGTAGTCCAAAATACTAGAAGTTGTGGTGAAAGGCTGTATGTAGTATCAGTCTAACAAAAACTTACAGAATACCAATGGATGATACACAAACATTTATCACTAAATGACTTACCCGTGCAATACTTATCATCTGTTGTTCTGAGTCCCTTTGAATAATAACTTTTTTTGCCGCTATAGAAATAATAAATGGGTACTGACAGAAAGAAAACCTAACAACAAGAGAAAAGAAGATAAAAATATTTCTTTTAGCACCTAGCATATTATTTTCTTTTTAAGAATACAGGAGCCAATCTTTGCATTATCATTCAGGAACTTCCTTCCCTCCACTGATAGTAATTTGCAAATAGCTGCTGGTTTTTTTGTGTTGTGTACATAGATACTCAATTCAGTAGAACAAACTCATTTGCAAATACTACTAGAAATTGTAATTAGTAATAATACTTATCCTCAATAAAGCTCTTTTTTATTGTTTTTTATTATCGATAGACCTAATAAAAGACAGCCATCTGCTTTAAATACTAAATTTTAATTGCTACACTGAATTAAAGAAAACAATATTGTCTTCTTATTAAATACAGGAAAAACAGCTCAGTGTAGCATTCTTAGGTACGTGGTAGAAGTGTTTCTGGTTTGGCTTATTTGCTGCAGAATTGATTTTCAAAGGAACTGATTTTGCACAGGTCCTTCAGATTTAACCCGGGGTTACAAGTGTTTAGGACTTCTAAAATATCAGATCACAGCCACATTCCACTGCAATCAGATAATACGAATAATTTGCAAAAACTTCAGAAATCATCAAGGTAAAATATTTTTTTGTTACTGGTTATTTTGGTAAATTTTTTGTTGATTTATCTCATGCATCACCTAGCAGAAGTTCATATTGAAATACCCAGAGCTTCAGACTCTATGTGTGCATCTTCAATCCAGAGTGCATGTGTGCACCCTGAATCCCGCCTGTGAGAAGCTCTGCATTCTAGTGTCTTTAGGAAAGAAAGGAAAATGAGGAAAAATATTCTCACTTGGTCTCTTGGAAATTCTAATCCAAAGTGTTTTACCAAGGAGTGTTGATTTAGTTCAAAGAATTATGTACTTCAAAATATTTCATATGGAAGATAAACCAGAACTTGCTCTTACTTGGCCTTCTTAGTTCTAAGCATATAGTCTTGATTGCTATTCTTTGTTGGGTTTTTGTTGTTGGTTTTTTTAAGTGGATGTAAAATCGGAAAAAAATGTAGTTGTAAAAGAATTAAATTTACTTTAAGAATAATACAGCTAGTCTGCACTTCAGCTACTCCAGAAATTATGTATCAAGCAAACTTTGTTTTGATATATGTTGAATTCCCAGTGTCCCAGCTAACTGAAAAGAACTGGAGCAGGTGGAAATCTCACAGCCCTTTCATAAGTTTGGATGTGGGTGCCAAAACAGCCAGATGGTGCCAATGAAAAAAAAAAATAAAATTTGAAGCTCAGCAGTATTCAGATTCTGATGCTTTCACTGAGACTATGCAAAGCCTACTGTACATTTATTGCTATCATTTGTCCATGGGTTTTGGTGGGTTTTTTGGTTTTTTTTTTCCTTCCTTCCCAAGCAGAATATCAGGTATCAGACAGAAGCCTAGCCTAAAATACCTGCTTTGGTGGAGCAAATTATGTTTTCCAAGTTTTCCTCAACTGCTGCTAAAGGCAAGGAAAATTGCACACGCGATAAACAAAAAGCTACATTTGGATGGCTGATGTCTTAAACTAGCTTACTGAAAAGTCTTGAAATATGGGGAAATTTTAATTGATCTTGTGATTCAGGCTGTAAAGACTGACTGATACATATTGATATGCTGAAAAATACAGCTATATAAAATAACATTTTTATTAAGAAAACATTACTAAGATTTTAAACTTTAGCAGAAAGATGAAATGCCTGTTTCTCTAGATGTTTCTAAATCAAACTGCTGGGTGCCTCTCACAAGAAGAGAAATACCTGTGCAAGCTTTGAGTCTGTAAAGATTTAACTTGTGTGTTTATTTTCAGATAACAGAAATAGTACAATTGCCCTTTCATAAGTTTGGATGTGGGTGCCAAAACAGCCAGATGGTGCCAATGAAAAAAAAAAATAAAATTTGAAGCTCAGCAGTATTCAGATTCTGATGCTTTCACTGAGACTATGCAAAGCCTACCGTACCATTTATTGCTATCATTTGTCCATGGGTTTTGGTGGGTTTTTTGGTTTTTTTTTCCTTCCTTCCCAAGCAGAATATCAGGTATCAGACAGAAGCCTAGCCTAAAATACCTGCTTTGGTGGAGCAAATTATGTTTTCCAAGTTTTCCTCAACTGCTGCTAAAGGCAAGGAAAATTGCACACGCGATAAACAAAAAGCTACATTTGGATGGCTGATGTCTTAAACTAGCTTACTGAAAAGTCTTGAAATATGGGGAAATTTTAATTGATCTTGTGATTCAGGCTGTAAAGACTGACTGATACATATTGATATGCTGAAAAATACAGCTATATAAAATAACATTTTTATTAAGAAAACATTACTAAGATTTTAAACTTTAGCAGAAAGATGAAATGCCTGTTTCTCTAGATGTTTCTAAATCAAACTGCTGGGTGCCTCTCACAAGAAGAGAAATACCTGTGCAAGCTTTGAGTCTGTAAAGATTTAACTTGTGTGTTTATTTTCAGATAACAGAAATAGTACAATTGATTTCACGGGAACAAATATGATCGGAGCCACATATATACAGGTAATTAGATACATTTTCATCATTAAGTGGTAAGTATGCACACAACACCACTTTCTATGAATGTATTGGAGGTTAAAATATGTTTGTAGTAAGACACTGTTAGAAGTCTATGCCAATAAATAATAAACTCATATTATCATCTATATTTTACATCTTTTCTCCAGTTTGCAAAGGCAGAGTGAGATTTATTTCAGTCAAGCTCACATCCATGCAGTAGCAAGTATAGCAAGTAGTAGCTGTACTATGTTTTTCCAATAAAATACAGTATTTAATGTGGCTATACATACACATAAAGGGTATGTATACTATATATACACTATATATAAGATAGATATACATAGTGTAGATACGGTGCTTTGACATACTACTTAACCAGAAACAACCAGTTATTCCTCTTACCTGTGAGAATTTCCATAACATTGCCAGTTATGATATTCTTCCATAAGATCAATATGATCAAGTGTAGAATTATAGAAATCCGTATATGAAATAACAGAAGGACTGATCAGACTATTTGCAGCATCTACAAAGAAAACACAAAAGTTAAAATACTGCCTGGATTCGGCACATCTGTTTCTAGGCATCCTGAGTACCAGTGACCTCAGAAACTTTAAGCCAAAGCAGCTACTAAAAACTTTGTCTCAGTCTTAGCTACAGAATTACAACTATAACATAACACCATATGAAGTCATATTAATTGCTGTAGAAAATAGTAAATCCCTAGTTCAGCCCATTTATAAGAGAACCTCCATTTGACTCTAGCCCACTTAATGACATACACTAAGGTTTTATGGATAAAGAATGCTATGTTCTGCTGAAATCAATGAAAAAGCAGTTTGGTAGATGGATTTCTTAAATACCTTCATTTAATTTCAAACATAGCTATGGATACAACATCTACATGCTTTCCAGTTAACAATCATCTGTTTGAGTTTGATGCCTGTTTGCAAAAGGGATGGAAAGGGAGGGACACAAAACATAGTATGCAAATATATGCCTATTTCCCCAGGTAACTACTATACCATCTAGACTCACCAGTACAAAAATTAAGTACTTGACCAAATGAAGAAAACCAATTCACATTTAAGCTGCCTATCTCATTATGTAACATTCATATAATGTCAAACAGCTAATAATTTTTCTCTATTTGCAGCACTTAAACATAATTTAATTTTGATCGGTCAGACAGAAAGTAGTGTACTTTGAATTACTAAATATCCCTTTTCCCAGAATTAAGGAATTAGCAACTCTTTCATAGATGACTAGACAACACACCTCTTGGTTTTAGATACAGTTGAGCTTATGTGTCTAAACTGTCGCTCTGGACAGGCAGGACTGTGCAGAATGCTTTTAAGTAAAAATTTTAAGTTGACATCGAAATGAAAACATCCTCATTCCAATCTTAATTTTCACTTGGTGGTTTCATTTTCTCCTAGAAAGGAGAAAGGGTTTTTACCCCTCAAGAAAAGGGGACTGACCTTAAGCCTCCCATTTCCATAGTAAATGCTCTAATCGCTAAGCTATTGGGGATGAGCGGAGGAGAAGATTTGTATTTGCAATGGTCAAATTTGCTGTGCTCTACGTTGAACTGGACAGGGATTTACTTTTTTTAAGCTGTAGTTTCGGACTTAAGAGGCATATACATTGCCTAACTTCTCTTAGATGCTAAATACTTCTGTGGGGGTAAGCCAATTACAGAAGAAATTCTGGCAACTGCACATTTAAAACAGTTGCTTTTATAAATGTAAGAGAAACCCTAACCATCGGTTACTTCTGTGGATTTCTGTTTGAATGATCTTCAGTAGTTGTTACAGGAAAATGATGCATAGCAGTTACCCTCTACTGGAAAGCAAGTATGAAGACTTGCCAATAGAAAATGTTTTTGTTGCTTACTACTTTTTGGCGTTTTATTGTAGGTTGTACTGTGCTACCATCATTGTCAGTCTCCCCCCAAAAAGGAGAGGTATAAACTATCCCCCCGCATATATATACACACACACACAAATGTACATATATATATATACACACATACATATGCATACACAGTTCAAGAAAAATACCTACTAAATAAAGCCAGGACTTTGGTTGCTGATGGAATCCACCAGGTACATTTCACCATAGGTGGAAACTCTTCAGGTTTTGCAGGAAACAGGCGTAAAGAAATAAATTGCAGTAACCTGTCCACCAGCTGCTTGAACCTCCTCTGTGAAATCCTAAAACAAACATGCTACAGTTACTCTCATGTGATCACTGTCCACACTAGAGTTTATACTATCAGATTTCAGTGTTATTTTTTTAAAAAACATGCTTTTGTTCTATACATAAAAACAAAACTCCAAATATAAATTTGAAGAAGCATGCTTTTAAATATTGGCACACAGCAATGCTCTTCAGTGCACCCCTAACTATGCTTTGTAATGTCTGTGATTTAAAAAAAAAAAAAAAGGCAATAGAATCATTACTCACTCTTGACTTTTAGTAAACAAAAAGAAAACAAAAATCCTTAGCTATTTCACTCCACAATCTGAATACTGAGGAATTCTGATTTTTTTATTTTGAGATACCTGGTCCTATTAAATAAAGAGTGGAAAGTACTTAATACACTTGTGACAAGCGCACATTTTAAATTATGTGCTGCATCACTTCCATAACATCACAACAATACACATATGTGTAGATATATTCAAGCATCCTTTTCTAAATAAGAGCTCTCCTATTTTAATGGTTTAGATTTCTAATACGTTTTAAGAATACAAACATCAATATGCCTACTGCATCCTTAACCAAGAGGATAAACCTTATTTGTAAACACTGATTCAAATGAAATCATATATTACCAAAATTTTAAGCAAATGTAGACATATTATAGGGTGGGGAGAGGGAAATATAATTTCCAGCCTTGCAGAGAAGAAAATCCTTTATTAACAGATTCCCTAGGAGATAAGGGAATTGTGAATATGGCCATTCAAACTTTTTTTTTTTACCCCAGACTGAGGTTTTTGCACAGTCATTATAAGGAAGGCAACGTGCATACCAACTTAAAAGCCGTTCTTTGGGCAGTTACCCCCATATGACTTTATTAGTGAGACGCTATTAGAGTTATTTCAATTAATTAAAAATCTAATGACCTAACTACACTCTCTCACTACCTCTATTACACTACGAAGCAGGGACTCGATTTCATTTGTGGTTTTCATACAATACAGTAAAGTTACAGTATCTTTTGCAAATTATGCAAGATAAAGCTTTATTTAAACAAAGACCATAAAGATGCTTGTATTAATAATACTGTTTAAACATGTATCTAAAAAATTTACATACATAAGTTATTTTGCATGCGTTACGGAAAAACAACTTACATAGCTTATTTTGCAGTTAAGGCTTTTTTGCATAAAGATCTTAATTTTTATACATTATATACAATTTGCATCTATAAATCAGTATCACTTAGTGGACTATGTCCAAATGTACTTTGAAAACAACAAAAACAATCTCATTAGTCAATTAAGTTAGCTTTCATATAATTTATAAAACAGTCAACATCAATGGAAATACAGTAACAATTCTAATCCTAAAAATGGAATTTTTAATTTTATTTTTTTATTTTTTTTACTTTTTAGACCAGTGCACTAGGAAATGATGGTCAGCTTCTGTTAAGGCTGCTATCTGTCTTAGCAAGTGAGCATAGATGACATAAGTAGAAGTGTTACTAAATTGAGGATTCTGAAAAAGATTAAAAAAATGTGTTAGGTTAATAAACTGCATAAAGGGAAAAAAGTCATTAGGATTTATGTTTGTTGTTGCCAATACAATTACGCAGGAAAGGAATTCACAAAATTGCTGTGACAGTGGTAAAACTACGAAAAAAATGATTTGCAACTTCTAGTCAAATAAAAAATACATAACTTCTATATTGTAAAAGTATGATTTTTTTGTTTCAAAAGAAAGCTCACAGGTAATAAAGGCAGTACTCAATATATTTTTCTGGATTATCATTTACTGTGTAGCACATAAATTACACTCCTCTGGGTGATGTGCTTTCCATGTCAGTAATAAGGATTCTCACAGCTCCTGTCTTCCCGCACATCAATCCAAACTTACTTTCTCTCATACGTATGAGTTCACACATTCCCGCTTTTCAGCGGGATATATTCCTTATAATTTACACCTTGTATACCGCCCCAGAGAAGAAAACTATTGTCTCAAAAAATTAAATTACCATCTGATCTTCTCAAATAACAGCAGAAACCTCTGTGTGGAGAGGTGTTATCTACACTGGCAAAATTTAAAGGGGAAATTTGCTACAAATGCAAATCAACTACAGTAGCAAAGGTAATAGGTTAACACAAACAGAAATCAGACAATGCAGCCTGTCAGATAGACTGGAGAGAGTCTGCTGGATAAAATGCAACACTGGAGAAAGTTACAGCAATATCAAAAAGCGCATATACTGAAACTTTCTGGAAAGGTCAAAGTTACAGCACACCAGTAAAGCAGATCTGGGAATAAGGAAGAAATAAGAACAAATAGCCTGCTAAAACATTTGTTCTTTCAACCCACAAAATGATAGGAAACAATTACATGTCTAACTGTTAGTTCATAGTTTTAATCTATGCAACCTTTCCCCATCAACTATCTTCCATTAAACTCCCATTCCCATCATGCACACCCTACACTTCTTCCATATTTTAATACATTCTTATAACAGGAAATTAAATGTGAAGTATCTCAGCTATACAGAGTATCTTGTTTGCATAGTATACTGGTTTATAGATTATAAGTTAAGCACACATACACTTAAATAAAAATACTGTATTGTTCTTACCTGTAAAAGTATACAGTATGCTCTAAGATCATCTTTTGTTCGTGGCCTATGAATGAATGAAATAATAAGCAGAACCATATGTATACATCGTATACACACATTAAGAGTCATGAAATCACGCACCCTACGATTTAACTTTGCTTTGCCAATACGTGTCCTATACCATATTTAAGGATCTTCACTGCTCTCAGAAATTGAAAAGGACGCTTAAAGATTCTGACTACTGTCTAAAGGCAGTAGCATCTGCCTTTTGTGGCATAACACAAGAGAGAAGGCAAAAAAAAGTCAGAATTGAAGAGTTAGAGGTGTTCCAAAGAGGTAGTCCATGCTGTTGTCTATCTCAGGTGACACCACAGAAGAGTTTATTTGCCCCACCTTAAATATTTCCTGCCAGAATTCTCCATACACTTCTACCACTGCAGCCTCTGTACTTCTTGCTGTTTTTCTGCTTCAAGGCTTTTACATAACCACAAACACACATGCAGCAACAGCACAGAAAAGGTAGTATAAAGTGGAGAAAGGAATAGCCAAGGGCTGGGTCACAGGTGAGTCACAACAAGGCGCTGTCTCTTGCTATATTTTTTTGTGAATCAAACTATGCATTCTCACTTCTATTACTTCTTGCTAAAATGTTGTCATCTCCAAACCTCCTGCCTTTGGGCTATCCCTTTCTGCATCCAGCACTGCCATTTCTATGCCATTGCCATACATGAATGGTATTGTGAAATAAACTTCGGATCAAGGAATTAACTAGGTTAAAACATGTTAGTTGCTGTTGGGGGTGTGCAGGGAGAGTATGTTTTACTCTAGAAAAATTCCTTAATTCATCTCACAGTTCAGATGCCTGAAAGATTGCCCTGGAAACAAGCAGCTGAGATTTTGTGGGGAAATGGATGGCTGGGTCTGGGTCTGCCTCTCAGAGGTTCAGTGTCAGCTTACAGAGTTGAAGATATATTTCAGCAGATTTGCCTGCCAAATGGAGACAAGTTGTATAAGTTGTATCAGAACATTTTCTTTCTTTGGCTAAAACAATAAAGACAAAAAGTGAATCAGTTGTAACTGCTGGCACAGCACTAATGCAAACATAATTACCCTTTCCATTCTTGTAGCAGACCATTAATTATTCCTTTTAGGACTGACTTCTGAACATCTTGAGGCTATGGAAAAAGGAGAGGAAAAATCATATCTGATGTAATTATACACATTCTATGCAAGATATTGTACGAACAAGCAAGTTTGTTTTGCTTGCGATTCAAGCCAGCTAAGAAATCTTTGTGTTACGATGCTGAGCTCCTAAGCATCTTTCCTCGCAGACTATTAGCTGAGGCCTGGAGTTGTGCCAACGGTGGCTTTCATCACTTTAAACAACTTTAAAACTGTAAATGTAATTTCTAAGTTACTCCCATCCTTTGTTTACTAGGCACAGTACCTACTTTTTGCTACCCCCATCCTCACATTTTCCTTATTGCCCACTATGCAGTGTCCCATCACAGTCACGTCATATCTCGCAAGCGGTCTTTGAGATCTACCACAGTATAAACTGTGCATTACTAGTAGCAAAAATTTCCTCCTCTTTTACTAGAGCAGTTTTCATGATTCTATGGCAGTTCTCATGGGACCATTTTAAGTATGTTTTGAGAGATTCTTCAGAAATCGTGCCTATCTGGGAAAAACTTTTGATATAAATTGCTTCTTAGCATATTTCTTTGCTGAAATAATTGTTACAATGTTTTAAAACATGAATTCTTTTCTTCTACTTACAGTATTTAATAAGGCATCATAGACAACATTCACAAATTTTGCATTGATTCCAGAGTCCTCAATGGTATTAAATGGAGAATTGGTATCTTTCTGTAAGTTAGATAATACATGAAGCATTTTGGTTTTGAAATGTTTTGAATATTTTAGCTGTCTTTGAAAAGAAAAAAGTTTAACAGCAAGTTTAAACAAAACACATACAGATATAACTATTTATTTTCCTTATCAAAACATAAGAATCTAAGTTGCTTTCATTAATATGTGAAAGCTGAGGCTAAACAATATTAATCTTACACAATGGCAATATGCACATAACTCCACTACCTCGTCGTTCTATTTCTAAAATGTAAGCGGGTTTCAAATAATGAGTTGTATCAATTTTCCATCTTTCATCTTTGTTGTCGATCCATCATCAGACAAGAGCAACAAAATTATAAGCATTCAATATTTGTTAAGTGACTAAAAGTCACATGTTATTTTGTCTAGGTTCAGGCGCTACTGTCCATATTAAATATCATAAGCACATTTTGCTCTGTAATAGGCAGGAAATATTAATTTAGCATGAATTCAGAAAGTTTTCACACACAAATATGATCTTTCCCAAGGAAAACTGAGTAGAACAGCTATACTACCTGAGCCCATATCACACCTGTTTTTAGGGACAGGGAATTTCTGTTTCCAGATTTGCCTGGGCCTTCGTATTAGCTCACATGTTTTTAAACTGTAGTTTGTGTAGAAAGTATCTACACAGTCATAGTGTCACAAAACAAACTACATACTGGAATTTTAAAGCTCCACATACACTTGAAATACAGTTGCTTAAACTGGAATCAATAAATCAATGCAATAACAGATTGTCTACCAAAGGCAGGTGAGAACATGACAAAATGATCTTAGTGGCCTTGAGTAACTAGCTGCAAGCCTTTAACTGATGTTTTTGTAAACATGTTGAAGATACAAAGCACTGTAAGTACTAAATAGTATTATGAATTATTTTCTACCTTAAATGCAGCATTTATCTCCAGGAAAGAATCAAATGTTGTAGAATAAAAATCATGTACAGCTTTCCAATCTCCTGATGACTTAGCCTTTTCCACATCATCCCTAGAAAGAATATATTAAAATATTGGTAATATAAAGGTTCAATCCTCCCAACCACTTAGACTTTAGACTGCACTGTAACTCTAAGCTTTCCTCACTAAGCACACTTAGAAGACAGACAAGTATAATATCAGTATCTTTCTAACAGCTTCCTTGTCATTTTAAGATCATAGTATTACAAGAGAACAAAAGCATAGTTTGTGTTTGATACATCTGAGCAATGTCTCTTATTCAAAATGTTAATTCATGGTGTCACAGTTCAGTATGTTAAGACAAATAATTAGCAGAACAGAATTACGCTGAAGATACACTGACATAATAAAATTTCTGAGACTAATTTATTTAAGTATGCAGGCTCCTAAACTAGTCAAATTCATTATCATTCGTACAAAATTTTATTTCTCTTCAAGTTTTTCAAATAAAACTTAATCTTTATATGCGGCTGTACACATTCCTCAAGGGCACAACAAAATCTATGGATTTACTCTTAAAGTTCTTTGAAGTATTGGACCTTAAAGCAAGTATCTGTATATGAAGTTTTGTATAATATCATACATGTAAAAACAAACAAACAAAACCCCCAACCAACCTTTGAAGCAGAATTTTATTTTAGCTATCTACAATGCTGGTGATAGAAATCCCAGTTTGCTCCCCCCCCGATAATTTCTTTGTACTAGATTTTCAAAAAGTTATCAGTGGGACATACAAAAAATGCTAATGACTTTTTAATACTTTACTTGAAAGAATAAAATTCTTGATAATTACATAATTAGGTAGCAGTCACTAGATACAAACAAAAGTCTGAATTATTGAAAAAATTTCAGCTCTTCAGATCACCTGAATAGCAACAAAGGATCACCTCTTGTCAAATTCTCTTTTATACCTGTTTCCTCTTCCACCCAATACACACACAGACTAATCAAAAAGCATTCCTTTTCCTCACTGAATGCACAAAATTTCAAACACGGAAAAGAGCAATGAAGAATATATGCTCATACGCCTCTTGGAGCAACTGTGATTTTTAAAATTTTTTTCCCCATCTGTTTGAAAAAAAAAAAAAAAATAGACGAATTGGGCTTCTTCCTAGGAATACTTCTCCCCATTTCCTGACCAAGATTATCCTACTGTAACACACTCAAGGATATTACAGCAGCATAATGTTGCTCTGTGGGCGCTAAGGCAAAAAAAAAAAAAAAAAGCCACACTTTCAATGAATTAGTAAATACCCCTCTAAGAACACATCCACTCTAAAGAAACAGTCTGCCAATATATGTTCACATATTGCAGGCAGAACCCCCTAGTGTAGACACACCTTACGCCATTAGTTTTTCAACAAAGTTATGCCATTTTCTCAAATGGCAGTGTCAACATCATAATTTTTGGGAACATAGCTACGTTAAGTAGAGAAAAAACGTTCTCTATTGCCTTGTGCCCACAGCGAACCAAGCAAAGCCAGCAAAACTTTGTGGTGTAGACCTGACATTAGGGAAACACAGTTAAAAACAATTCAGGTGGTTTCCCTGGGGACTTCTGCTAGCCTAGCTAAGCTGATCAAACATCGTGTACCGAGTATCATAATAGTGCTGGAAGAAATGTAATGCAGATACAGTTTTGATTAAGGGTCTGTACTGATCTGGAAAAACGGAACTGGAACACATGACACTATTTCATATCAATTCTACTTTCCTTCTAGCTAAATCAGTGTTACGGGGCAGCAGCATAAATATTGTCTGCGCAGACTCTTTAATCTTAAAACTCTTTTTACTTAGACAAACTTGAAGCATAGTGCCTCTCAGAGAAGTGCTAGAAGAGCTTATGCTTACACTGCTTAAAACTGTGGTCACATAAGCAGCAAGTATACATGAAAAAAGAAATAAGTTTTTGCCATAAAACTAATGTTGAAAATTAAAGCTCTCTAACTTAATGCATTAAGAAAGGTCATCTGTACTTTTAGCCAAAGTTAGAAATAGTGCAGTCCATGTAATCACCGCTCCAGGTACTCAGATACGATGTTATACGTTTAAGTGTCTGATGTACAGTGTTTCGCACAAGACCGAGAATGCCCAGTACCTCAATGGACAGGACACACCATAATTGGCAGTACAAAAAAAATACCTAAGATTGAAAGGGATTTTCCAGCCTACATTAAGCCATATATATTTTTTTCCAAAACTAAACATCCACTGAATGTCAGGAACTTAATTTCTATCTCTGAAGTACAAGCTTTGCCATTTCTTGAACAGAACAACGCTTCAAGCCAGACACAGTATTTTGATAATTTTCACAGTAACAGAGTTATCAGTCCCACCATCACAACCAGACTAACAACTACTACTGCTACGAGTCAGTCTTACTGAACTGTTCTCATTTGAGATTAACAAAATCACATGTATGAATTAGGACAAAACAAAGAAAGTCCAAAGAAAGAAAGTACACTTCTAGAAACACCAGTGTAACTTACTGAAAATCTTTCACAGTTTTGGTTCGGATGGGAAGGGAAGGTTCAGGAGGAACTGGTGCTTTCAGTTCTTGGGGTAGTGTATCTATAGAGATGCGCTGCTTTTGTCGTACATCGAGGCAAATAGGCGGTAGGTCTCTCACTTATTAAAAAAACCCAAACAAAAACCCAATAAATACAATGCAATCAAATAAATAACAAACAGTTAGCTAGTAAAATATAGATATATAGAAACTAGGAAAAAAAAAACCAAAAAACAAAACTCACACTGTCTGATTCTACGTCTTTAAACCCCTACTCATCCAAGTACTTTTCTTACCATATACTCATCCCAGACAGGATGGAAACTTCCGCTCATTGAAGGGAAATAAAACCCTATAAACAAAAACTGGGTCTTGAGTTCGTAACCAAGTCTTTGTGAACACAGTGCTTCCTTCTGCCAATAGAGGGAGAAAATTGGCCAGTCTGTCTCTTATCTAAGGCTTTCTGAAAGACCGGAGTCTCTACTATTTTATAAATGAACTGCTGGACACAGTTGCAAACAAATTATTTGTCTATTACAAAAACAAAGAAAACCAAGACAGATTTTCACAATTGAATTGCTGGCATACTGCTGACAAAAAAAAAAAAAGCTGGTGATCTTTATTCCAACTCATTATTAGGGGAAATAGCAAAATATTGTACTTACATAAGATGCACTGGTATTTCATCAGTAATAACACGCTGGTATACATTCAGCAGCATTCACATCACACAAGAAAACCTCAAGCTCATATAAATTCATTTTTAGAAATGAGCGCTGCAGAATTTTCATTAAGTCTATTTGTAGCTGTTAGGTGCTCAACCTTCTGAACATTAAGCCAAGTGCCAACCACACCAAAGTCCAACCATTTTCTGACGTACAAGGACAAGTCTTCAGTCAGTTTTTCTACACTGTGATATATAATTTTAGCTAGAGCTGACTGTGGATCATCTACACCCTCCTAAAAGAACCTCTCCAATAAATTAAACGGCAAATGCAAGTTTTCCCATCTTGCAGGGAATTACTGTTGAAACGGTAGCATCTTTAAACATTTTTTTTCAATAAATCTGGCTGCCTATTCTAAGTACAAATAGCAGTGCTTTAATAAGGTCTTTCTGTTCTAACCCTTACTTTATATTTGATCCAAGAACATTGTATAGTGTTTACGTGGCAAGGTTTTGGCAGCGGGGGGGCTGCAGGGGTGGCCTCTGTGAGAGGAGAGACCGGGCTGCCTCTATGTCAGACACAGCCAGCTCCAAAACAGACCCACCACAGGTCAAAGCTGAGCCCATGGGTGACGCTGGTAGCGCCTCTGTGACAAAATATTTAAGAAAGGGTAAAAAACACTGCACAGCAGCTGAGAGAGAGAGAGGAGGGATTAAAAAGAAAGAGAAACCACCCTGCAGACACCCAGGTCAGTGGAGAAGGAGGGGGGAGGAGGTGCCCCAGGTACTGGAGCAGAGATTCCCCTGCAGCCCGTGCAGAAGACCATGGTGAAGCAGGTTGTCCCCCTGCAGCCCATGGAGGACCACAGTGGAGCAGACATCCACCCTGCAGCCCACGGAGAGCCCGTGCCTGAGCAGGCTGCTGGTAGGAACTGTGGCCCATGGGGGACCCACACCGGAGCAGTCCGTTCCTAAAGGACCGTACCCTGTGGAAAGGACCCACATTGGAGCAGTTCTTGAATAACTGCAACTCATGGGAAGGACCCATGTTGGAGAAGTTTCTGAAAGACTGTATCCCGTGGGAGAGACCCCAGGCTGGAGCAGGGGAAGAGCATGAAGAGGAAGGAGTAGCAGAAATGAAGTTTCATGAGCTGACTGCGACCCCCATTCCTCACCCCCCTGAGCCACTTGGGGGAAAGGAGGTAGAAGAGTAGGGAATGAAGGAGTGAAGTTGAGCCTGGGAAGAAGGGGCGGCAGGGGGAAGATGTTTTGAGTTTTGCTTTTGTTTTGTTTAACTGGCAATAAATTAATATCCTCAAGTCAAGTCTGTTTTGCCTGTAACGGTAATTGGGAAGTAGACTCCTTGTCTTTATCTCAAGCCATGAACTGTTTCATCTTATTTTCTCCCACCAAAAACATGAAAAAAATATTCCAATGCCATATACACAAACATCCATTTTACTGACAGTGTCTTCTCAAATATCCTGAAAATGCTTTTTTAGTCTGATTTATACTGCATGTTTTTAAAAGCATTTATATGAATTATGATGTATGTTTGGGATAAAAGACACTGTATAAAATAAAAGCGTCCTCAAAAGTCAAACATATTAAACCACAATCCTCTATGAATTAATTATCTTAAGAACCCTCTAAACCTTTTCACTACAATGCCAAGAGTTGCTGTCTTTTAAAACTAACTAAACATCAAAGTAGTATCACTACTCCACTGCCTACTCCATTTATCACAGCAGGGAAATACTTGCTAACAAAATCCCCAAAACCCAAAGGCAGATTCTTTTCACTCATGCTAACGACAGAGACACTGTCATTGTGACTTAACTCAGTCACCATTCATCAGACGATAATAGATCAGAGCTGCCCTCAATCCCCTGAGTATGGCATTGATTATAGATATGAACCTTGCCCACAGCTGGAATTCAAAGCTATTTAAAGAGAAGAGTAGTAATTTAAAAAACAAAGTGGACACATAGATACTAAATTAATTCAAGCCAAGGTGCCAAACAATCCTGCCGTGCAAGTGCTCTGCTATTGCACATCATTCTCTGAAAGCAGGATGGACTGACTTAAAAGAAACTATGTCTTATTTTTATACTCTGAAGAAGACAAGTCATTTTAATTTAGCTCTCATTCTGTCTTCTCAATTTTAAATGGATTAAACATTGAATTATAACCAGCTGAATACACTGAAATGAGGAAAATATTCTCTCTGCATCTGCAGAAGAGACAGCTGCTGACAGAAGCTGTTTCTCCTTTCAGTAAATTGAGGCTGCAGGTGCTAAGCTGGTAACTTGCACCCTGTCAGTGATACCATTTTCTTTGAAATATATGCAGCTTAAATTAGATATACTAAATCTGAGTTTTAATAATATGTTTAATAAATACTGTCAACTTCAGTCTGTTTTGCCATAATTCAAGTTTATTTGTAAATAGATTTGCTCATCTGACATTCAAAAATATTAATTAAGATCTGTCACTTGAGTTCCATTGAAGAGAAACTTGAAACTTTATGTATTGAGTTGATAAGCAGTAATAACACAATGTTACAAGACAAGAAAAAGCAATCATTTCTGGCTGTTTGCCCAGTTACCTCATGTAAAAAGACTCAGCAATGCATGACTGCTTAGGGAATGATGAAAAACTTTGAGGAAGAAAATCTCATTGATACAAAGCAGAATTGACTACTACAAGGAAATTTAGGGTGAATGAATTTAGAACAGCAGGTATTTTCATGGTGACCAATACAGCTACTGGCAGATGAAAATTTTCAAAGTAGGTAAAGCAAACAAATCTTACTTGTATTTGTGACATTATAAAAGAACTAGAACAATCTAGTTCTTTTATAGAATAGATAGATCTACATAGATCTCATACCAAATCATTGTTACACTAGAAGACTTGTAATATAAGTTCAATCTCTGTGGCAGCTATATTGCAAACAAACATCACCCTAGCTTTCATGATGTATTTACCAGCATTACCTTTTCCACGCTTTTGTTTTGCAATGAAATTAACATTCTTTGAACTCAAGCCTAAAGTGTTACCAGTATATGCACATATATACACACACACACATATTCAGAGAGATAGCACACGTATAGATAAACTGAAAAAACCCACCAAGCATCATTCCTGAATTCCAGAATAGCGAAAGCATTTTTAACAGAGACGTTTGTTTTAATGATTATTTTTTCCATAGAATACACATACCTCCTCAAAGAATTCTGAGTGCACCTTGGACTGGTTTTATATAGGCAGGTTACCCTGATCCTGAAATGACCAGAATATCTGCTCAATTTTACCCATTGAGCTCAATTTCAAGAATATATCCTTGACTATAATAAATATTGCCATGCATTAATGTGGTGAAAATTAACAGCTAAGTACTTATGAAGCAGTAATTACAATGTGGACAGTATCATGTGCAGCAAGAACTGAGGGCACTTCAAGAGGGAGAGGTGTTTAGAGTTTACCATTATCAGATACAAGAAAAGGGGGGAGGGCAGATTTCTTCTGTTTAGTGAAATGAATTCTGCAAAAGGGTACTGTATTTTTCACATTGCTTGGCCCAATACTAGATTTAATTTTACTTTGTCCTAAATTTTATTAAGCAGTAGGCTTTCTTATCATAAGATTATATTAAGAAACTATTCAGACAGAAGCTGGACAGGAAACAATTAAGACTTAAATAATGAAAGACAGTAGCTTGGAGCCTATGAATCAACTGCATGCATGTTTCTGTTAAAAAGGCTAGCAGCTGAGTAGTTAACATTGACAAGAGTTCACTTGTAGCTTCTGAGGAAAATAACATTATCCAAGAAAGGCAAAATATTTTATTTTTCTGAGGACTTTCCAACAATATTGCAATTGTTTACATGCAATTCACATACGGAGACTTTTCTTTAAAAATATATAGGGGAGAGCAATGGCCACCTGAAGGTTGTTCTTCCAGCTTTGTTAGCTCACCCTTACAGCACTTTGCAAGAATCAGCAGAGCTCTGACATGCTTTGCAGCATCTTCTTTTTGCCTCACCCCAAGTATTGCCTTCAAGAACACCACTTCTACCTTAACTCCATTAAGTTACGCAGCAGTGGGAGAATTCTTCACTGGCCATCTCCAGCCACCTTGGTTTCCTTTGTGTAGTACAAAGTGACTTGAGCAAAGTACAAAAACCTGTCCGAACTGTCATTTACACATAATTGCCTTTTGTGTTTCAGTGATCGCCCTTTTTTTTTTTTTAAATAGAAAGCACCTCCTTACTCTGTAAAAAAAAATGCTTAAAAAAAAAAAAGGTCTTCCATTGACTTTTACTTTTGCAGTACAGCTAGCAAGGATACAAAGATTACTTTAGTAAGGATCCAATCCTGCAAGGTATAAGCCACCTTTTTCTGCACAACTTTGAAACTGACAATACCTGTCCATAGTTTTGTTTCAAACTCGCACTACTGAGATCTAATTAATGCAGTCTCTTTCTTTCTGGCCTTGAATTCATTGAGTGCTGTAAAGACTTAGAGAACCACAGAATAATAAGGCTGAGAGGCACCTGCTCAGAGGCAAGATCAGTACAAACCTGACAAATGTTTGTACAGCCTTTTATCAAAAGTCCCAAATTACTGAAATTCCATATCCTAGCCCAAAAATCTAATAAAAATTTCAGGTCTAACCACAATGTCATCTCATCAGGCTTCACGATTCTAGCCTACCATACTGAACATACAGCTCCAGTTTCTATCTTTTCATCAATTATCGTTACCTCATCATACCACAACCACCTCCCTTCTTGCCTTTAAAGCTCTTCAGAACTTACCAATCTTTGCCTGTGATTTTTATTTTGTGTCATCACTGGCCTCCACCTTCACTGAAAAACGGCAACTCTCAGCAACTGTCTCTCTTAAAAGCCCTATGCTTGCCTCATCCCTGCCATCCTTCAGATGGCGACAGAAAAGTTTTCTCCACAAAGTTCTGACACAATTTCTAGAGAAACTGCCATCTGACTGCAGTTAGACAAACAGTATCTGCAGATGGCCTCCTGAATCTGTAACTGTCTTTAAAACTTCAGATGATTATTTCATCATCCAGGTCTATTTCTTTTTCTTATCCAACTTGTCTCTATGACATAACCTCTACAGAGGATGGACTATCATATATTTCACTGCCTGTACAATGTACAGCACAGCATAATTTAATGAAATCTAGATTTCTAGATTTTCTGGCACTACCACAATTACAAATATTGGCAGAACACTAAGCACCTTCTCAAATTGGTAACTAAGTAACACAGGGCTTTTATTCTCTTACCATTTTTGATGTTGGGTATAACAAGTTGCGTAGGCGAATTTCTGTTTCCGATGCCTTCTTTCTTTTGGTTGATAGTTGTGATGAAATTGCTGAAAGTGGAAAACTGATTTTTGGCTCCTCTCTCCAACCCCTGTAATTAAGATGACAGCATCTTATAAAGGGCTAATACATTACTGTAAGAGTAATCTTACTCATGAGCTATTACACAGAATACTTAAATATCTTTTATCTTGAAATCAGATTGGTAATAACTAAATAAGACATAAATAATGATTCTGCAAGTTTGCTTCAAATTGAATCAGGAGAGATACCATAAAATTCCTTTCCATTACATTCAAAAACTCAATTTGCAGGATATGAAGATATCCTTAGATTACTGTGAGGAAAACACAATATGATTAGAATGCTTTCAACAATATTCTAACTTTCTGTATCCTAATTGCTAACTATTTTTATATTCCTCACTACATCCAGCTCAGTTTAAACAGATGAAAGTGTCACATATTCCTTTTTCCAAATAACCCTAATATACTGAAAGTAGTTTAGACAAATTTCCCAAGACTTGAAACGTGGGGCCAAAAATTCTATGTGAGCTAACCTGCTAATAAAATTTAAATACTGGCTACCTGGCTAAAAACCCCAATGATTCAAAGTTGTCAGCATCAGCTGCCGCTGAAGAAAGGCTAGCCAACAAACATTTGTTAACACCCTGTTAAAAGAAACTGCTTGAGTACCTGTATGTACTGCCACCAAGGAGTCTGCACAAGCCTTTGCTAAGAAATGTTGAGTGCTAATGTGTTTTAACAGTGAACAGAAGTGAAATCACACACAGAGTTCCAAAGGATTGTGCTAATTGGTCTGTTTGACACCGAGTGCTATTAGATACAGTTATTTACTCTGGAGAATTTGCGAAGCATAGGTGGGGTAAGGGGCTTGCCCAAGACGACAGAAGTCGCACGATGGAGATTTTAATTTCCATCTCAGCTCCAAGTCATCAGTTGATATAAGGCAAAGGTAGATCAACTCAAAACACTATACACACTCTCCCTGCACATCATGATTTTCAGCCTCACATTAACCTAAAGATTCGTTTGCTTGATATCTGGTATCTGCGCTCTCAGTTAGAAAAAAAAATGTTTTCATGAAAATCAAAACTGTAATTCTCCAAACAAGAATAAAAATTCTAGAATAATTAATGTAATATCCTATCAATTTTTTTAAACCCATACATTTCCCTTTCCCCTTAAGGGTTGTAAATTTGGACTAAGTCATGCAGCCAGAGTTCTGAGGAAAGCACTTCACTTCCACCACAACATCCCGAAATACCACCAGGAGGGTAATAACACAGCCCATAAACCTGCCATGCCGCAGTGTATGCAAGCTGGTACACTGCCAGGAATTTTAAATAACTGTGGCGCAAACAGCCATTTTTCCATGGCTTATAACTCAGCAAATTATAAATTTGAACAATCAGCAGGACTTCTGGCTTTAAAAATACCAAGTTTCAACTTCTAGCTCCAAATTCCTTGTATGCAAGAAACATTCAAAAATAAAATGTGATTACCACTGTAATTGTTACATTAACTTTTTCTTTTATTCTATAACCTTTGAAATATCATTAAGATGCTTCTTAAAAATCACCTCGCACATGACTGGAGAAAAACAGACCCTGAACAAACATGGCAAGACATGATTGACTGAAAAAGGACTTTTAAACAAATCTAGATCTGAGGGAAATCTGCTGTGTCACAAAATGTATGCTCTAGCTAGAAAACCTCTGGAGCTTGGACTAGTCTAATTATGATTAATAGGGAATAGATAATCATAGATAATTGAGAAGAGAAGCTTTTATGAAACAGACTATTGTGACAGCCTTTTTGACTGACTCAGCTTTCGAGGTTTTACTCCAGCCATGCCACTGAAATAGTATAGTCGGACAGTTATTTAAAAAGATTCTTCTTAATGCCACCTCCCTCAGCAGTGACCAGAAAGAACAAATATTGCACGTGCTATTTAACTCCATCATCCTGCTCCAAGTGCAGTTCCAACAATATTAAACAAAATTATGGACAAAGGCTTTACTGGAAAGCCCTGGAGGAATACTGGGAAACTACATACTCATTAATGAGGATCTCTGACATCTCCTGGGAGACTAATCTAGGACAAGTGTACAGCACCATGTCATACTTACAAAATTTTATAGGAGGTCAGTGAGCCTCTAGAGCCTAAGACTCTACACACATACTGCCATCAGAAAACTGAACCCCCAGATAAAGAATGAGGATGCTTAGAGGGAGTAAGTACATCAAAGTAATCTTTAATCCTCTTTTTTAAGAGCATATTAATAACTCAAAACTCTGCTGGCTTCTTAGTGGAAGTTTTCCAAAGCATTAAGCCCTCCATAAGACTGGAGAGGTACTAGCATTATACTTCATAATACTTCATAAATCTATGCTTTCCGTTATTGAAGTTAAATTAGATGGTGAAAAGAAGTCAAACTGTTTGCAAAGAGCACATACAGAGCGCTTTCTGGGAAGAGGCAAAAGACCGTCTAGAAGAGTTTCTTGAAAATCCTACTCTTTAGCCCTAACACAACTCACTCGACCTATATGTATGTGGCACGCAAAGACCACTGAGGAGTAAAAGGTTTTCTTCCCTGTGCAAGACAACATGGAGGACAGATTACCTAAAGGCAGTTGTCAATGCAACAGCCTAGTCAAGAAGTAGGATTTTCCCTTCCATTCATATCTTGAAAGGTATAACATAGGACTGGTTTAGCTTTACAGAAGCCTCTACTTGTTCCTGCTTACTAGGGGGCAAGTTATTTAGCTTCCCACAAGTTTCTTTTCAGAATCTGAATACCGACCTCCAAACCATCACCTCTTATGCATTATTTCTAATCACCATTTGGCCCATAAGAAAAGCCTGAACTCCTTGCAGCAGCATGTTAATTCATTCATGGACTAATTTAATCTCCACAACTTCCCTTAGAAATAAAAGCAAAAAAAAAAAAAGTAACCGTTCTTCCACAATTCCACATGGCCCTTGGCTAGGAAAAGCCACGGTATGAATGACAATAGCAATAGTCACATAATCCCTTTATTCCAACTTGAAGCCAGCTTAAACTCGAGATGAGACATCTTTCATGCACACGCTCTTAGGAGAAAAAGGATACCATGGTTATCTATTGACTTACTAAAATTCTGACCTTTTCCACAGCTGTTGTGGAAAATGGAAACTGTTTAAAGGATGTGTCACACCTTCACGTTGCCTTCGAGGAAGCTCTAGTCATGCCACATCAGTTGCACAAAGCTATGGTGGGTCTTTAGTGCACTGAAGAAAATGTCAATTACACAAAACCTAGGGAGATGTTCTGAGACAAGGATATCTGAGGGTCACTTCATATAAAGACAAGGTATAGTATCTATTTCATCATAGTCATCATACGATGGCTATAAACTTAGAAATAACAGGCAGAGAGAATAGGAAAATTAAGGTTATCTGGAGTATCACTGTATTTCTATCAGGCATGTATTTTTAAAGGAAGGGAATTCTAATGGGGAAAAAACCCACGAATAAGCAAAGATTATTATTTTTTTTTTTAAAGACAATAATTTCCCCTTTTATCATCACATCATATTACAAACTCTTCCCCAGTTTAATGAGGAGGAAGCTGATGAGGACATACTTCTCTCTTTAAAAGTGTTTGAGAAGATTTGATTAAGTAACACTCATTTTTCGATGTTCAATCAGAACTTTTAATACAAGAACTTGTATTAAAATCATGCTATATACAATGAATCTCACAACATACTTCATGAAGCCCTGGATTTAGATGTGTAGGTTGGTCACAACTAGGGCTTAGCAGACCAACAGTCCAATACCTTCTTTACAGCAACTCATAAAGGTCTTGCAAAAAGCATACCTGCATTCCCTATTTGGTATATTTGGATCAAAAACTGCATTCTGTTACAAACAGAGAAATCCAGGGCTATGGAAATATCTATTTCATCTGTCTACAAAACTCTCCCTGTAACATACTATTAAAACCCATACGCAGCTCTTTGTAAATTCAAAATCCCACTTGGGCATTTGACAAGCGATCACACCTAGCTGGATCTGAGCTCCTCTGGAGCAGGTCAACTTAGGCAACTTATGCCTGTGGGCAACAGTTCAGAGGTACATGAAGGACGTCCAGCTACAAGCAAGTTCTCCTGATTCTTAAAGCAGTGGGAGTTCTACCTGGCTGCCGAGTTGCACACGTTTTTCATTAGCTGAGCTAAGCCTGACACGTTTTAGACCAGCACTTGTATCTTTATTCTAAGGGACTGGCACTTGCCATTCAAAGTCTTAAGCGGAGATTTTCAAAGGTACAAGTAACTCCTGGGCACTTGTCCATTACAGACTTCTCGCACCAAATCTGTATTTGAATCACAAGAACAAACACATTCTTCCACATTCAGACAGATTTGCAAAGCTGAAAGTCTTTCAGAAGATTGGAACATTGTAGGCAAAACACAAAATTGGCAGAATTGCTCCAAGGAGTTTGCGGTTTGCCTACGATTACTTCATTTAACATTACAATTATTTCATGACAGTCATAAACATTAGATGCTCAATCTTTTAAACTCAAGTTATGTAAAATGATAAGTTCTAGCAAGTCAGGTACTTATCAGAACTATTGAATTAAAATCTCAAAACTGTATTACTACAGGATTGGTAAAATTTTTGTTCTGTTGTTGGACTGAAGTAAGTTACAGCAAGCTTTATTTAACATTGAGCTATGCAAGATATTCAACTCATGCCAGGAAAATTTTATGTTTCATAATATTGTATGGTCAGCAGAAAGAAAATCTTAACTCCACTAAAATTAAAAATCTCAAACGAGGTTTCTAAAATGAAATTATTCTGGCAAATATCCTTCTCACAGTTTTTTACCCGTGTTAACTCATTCATCAATTATCAAAATGTTTTGTCATCTTTGCTTCAACACAATGTAAAAACCGGAAAAGACCTTTTAAGAAGAAGTTAAAAATACAAAAGTATTTTCCAGCTAGCTCTCTTGCTATTAAGTGCTGAAACCCTCCACCCCCGAAAACCCTTAACGAACATTCACAATGCTGCAAACCCTCAGTCATGACTAACCCAAAAGAGCAGACCGCTGTAAAATGTTAAAGAACTATAAGTAGACGGAGAATTTATAGCTTCATTATGTCACTGCTTACAGATGCACTTGTTATTTTTAAGAAACTTGAATGAAAGGCTCTCAACGGAAAAGAACATGAAAGAAAACGAACATGATGCTTCCCCACCACCACGAATAAAGCGGCAAACAGAGCAAATGACAGCGGGGACGGCAAAGACGGTCCCGCTCCCCGGGGCCGGGGCCCGGCGGGAGGCAGCCCGGGCACTGACGGGTCGCTCGGCCCCGCCGGGGACCGCAGGAGACCTA